GCCAGTGGGTGAGGAATACGCGGACGGCAGAGTGGCGGCGGGTTAGGTGGTGCTGCCAGCCGTGCGTGCGTCTCAACAGTCAGCAGCCATTGCATACAACGGGGTGCCGTGGCGTGCTTAAAAGTTTTAAATTTGCTAGGCACTGACCAAATTGTTTGTGGTTGTTGCCGCTGAAGTTGTTGTTATTATTGTTGTTGTTGTTGCTTGCCGGGCGAAAACTGAATTTGCAGCTAGGCGCAGCAAAATGGAAAAAGGCGGCCAAATTCAGCGAATTTCAGCTTGTGAGGTGTGTGTGTGTGTGTGAGTGTTTGTGTGTATTTGAGTTTGTGTGCGAGTGCCGGCCTTTCGCTTAGTTTGTTTCACACAACACGTTTTATATTGAACAGCTTTGCTATATGTGTGTGTGTGTGTGTGTGTGTGTGTGTGTGTTCATGATTTATGCAATGGCAGATGCAACATGGAGAGTGGCCAACATTTTTTAATTGAAATGCACTTAAGTTCTTAGGCGCTTTGCAATCATTTTTTAATACCCCTAAAAAGTAGTTTTTACATTTTGGCCAAAAAACATGCACAGGCAGCTTAGTTTTTTCTTATTGCTTATGTAAATCAACACACGTGAAAAAATATATATATGTATATATACTATCTATATTAAAATCAATTTATCTTACAAATAATACATGTTTTTAAAAAATTGTCATGAAATGGGAAACCTATGCACTTGTCTATTTAATTTTGTGCAAAAGTCCTGAAACATATACTATTTCTTGCATAGCTGTATTTTTCATTATTATCAGCCGTGTCCATTGGAACCCAGAACTTATATTTGGGATCATATATGATAATCCAGATATATCCGTCCACTCATTAACTTTTCAAAGCGCATTCGAGATTTTCCCAGTTTATTTTAGATTATTATTATCCGTTTTCTCTCGAACATAAACTCTCGAATAGCGCTTGCTTACTTGCTTAATTATGTAAATCCCGCGCATACTCGTTTCCTCCACGCCATCAACATTATTTCTGATTGCTGACGATGACATTTAAATGAAGTGAACGACAGAAATGTTTCTAATTTGACATATTTGACGTCTCGCGGCACGAGTTTTGTTGAAAAGTTGCGCATGTAAAATGCATATGTGAAATAAAATACAGAAATACAAATAAAATTGTAGAAACAGCAACAGAAACAATTAAACTTTTGCCCTGTCGTTCTGCACAGGATCAGGAGGATGTCCTGTGCGCAGTCCAGTAAGCCATGTGGCATTTTTGTTAAAAACTGCATAATTCATGTCCCATAGCAAAGTCCTGACCGAAGCTGACCAAAGCAACAGCCGCAGCCGCAGCAGCAACAGCAGCAGCAGCCGTTGTCGTCATGGTCGTCGACATGCTCTCTTCCACATGGCTGCTCCACACATATTTCATTTAAAATTTACAAGTTAACAATATTAAATATTAACAGTTATTTATGCATTTTTCGGTATAAATCCCAAAAATTTCGCATGCAAAAGCGCACAAAAGTTGTCGACCTCCGCCTCGCCCGTTGAGATGATGCTGCACAAATCTCGTAGCCTCTGTGCCCTTTAACCTGTCCTTCTAAGCATTGTGTGACTTGGCATTTTTCATATGCATGTGTAAGCATCAAGATGCGCGTGTGTGTGTGTGTGTTTGCGTGTAAATTGCATTTGTTTTCTACATTTTATTCAACAATATTTTGTGCTGTTTCTGTTCTTGATTTAAATAATTTCGGCTTTCAGCCCTTTGTATATGCATTTCTCTTCGTATATTATTTACATTTTGGCCAAATTGTTTGTCTATTTTGTTGATTTGTTCTTGGGCCTCACAATTCAAATCTTAATAAATGCAAATTTATTGCTTTTTGACTTTTAGCTCCTCACATTCTCCCAACAATGAAACTTGGCGGAAGTCTGCCACAATTTACCTTCTTTTCTTTGCTGGCCAAAAATTCCCTTTTGTATGTGTTTTGTCTTTTCCAATCGTTTGCCTGCATTTTTTACGCGTAGATCAAAACAAAACTTCATTAAGTCTAGTTCTAAGCTGCACTCGAAGAACATGGCCTCGACTTTTCATAATGGCTCGCTAATTTTTGCTGGCTAAAATTTCATGAAATTGTTGCTATACAAATTTTGGAGCCAAGTGTATGCCCTGGTGGGCGGCGAACTCTGTGCCCCTAATAACAAAACTTTTACATTAGCTTTTGGCAAGGACGCAGACAACAGAATACGGCAAACACTTGACAAGGCAGCAACAGTTGCGAAAGTTGAGCTGCGTCTCTTTGCCCAAATATGCAAATGAGCTGGTTGCCCCAGACTTGGCTCTGGTCTCTGACAGGCGTGTAAAGTGCTCTAAAAGCGGCACCCAGCAACAACAACAAAAGCATTTAGCCAACAAATTCCATTGCATGCGTCTGCCTGCTGGCTGGCAAATGCATTTCTCGCAGCAGCCGCCCCTAAAAACTGAAGAAAAAAGGATCAAAAACCTTTTGCAACTTGCGTGTTGCATTTGTTTACACAACAAGCCAGCCACAGGAGTGAAAAATAAATGGAGTGTGACTAGCAGCAAGAGTAGGCCAGACAACAGTACCCCTGGATTAGATTTACACAGAGCATCCTTTGGTAATACGATGACGTAGCTGCTGCTTTGGCTCGCTGTTGTGATATTTAGACAATGCTCAATGCCCGACTGGCTGGCTGGCTAACTGGCTGACTGGCTTGTAGTCGCGAAAATGCCAACAAATCATTGTGAGGACAACCCGTTGGGTGACTAGCTGGGTAACAGGGCACAACGTGCCACAACAACGACATCATCATCAGTTGTGCGCCTAAGTAAGCCGCATTTTGTGGATTCAAATGACGCCCTTATCCCCTAGCACCCCTCGCACCGTTGCTAGTATGCAACCTCAACGCTCGCACAACAAACGACGTGGTTGCAAAGTGATTTCTGGTTTAATGTTTTTTTTAATGTTGCTCATGTTGCAACTGACCAACGCCTCCGCTGCTGCTGCTGCTTCTTCTGCTGCTGCTGCTGACGCTGATGATATTGTTGCTGTCATCAGCAGTGGTTGCCGCTATGGTGAACTGTTACTGGTCACTCACTCCGTTTGGCAAGTCAAACATGAGCCATGTGCGGCATGCTCGTGTCCGTTACGTAGTCCTTGTCCCTCGCTTTACCTCTCAGTGTCTGCCTCTTTCTCGCTCTGGTGCCTGTCATGTGGCCACTTCTGTTGCTGTTGTTGCACCTACAAAAAGTGCGACCACGGCTAATTTTTCGCCCTGTGTATGTATGTGTGTGTGTGTGTGTGTCTGACTCCATTAGCTGTTGCTGTCTCTGTGTGGTTGTGTGTGTGTGCTTTGTGGCTGTGTAGCCGAATTTGACACAACATTTGTCAAACCACAAAATGGCAGCCGCAACGTTACTTTCATTATGCAAAAGGTCAGCAAAACAGGCAACGGCTCTGTGGTAGTGTTGTTGCTGCTGTTCCTGTTGCCGTTGCTGTTGTTGTTGTTGTTGTTCCCAAATGACATTTGACTTGGTTTGCCAAGCTTACATCGTTTGTGTCCGGTCAGCTGCCTGGCCAATAAGCTGCGATTTATCAACTAGCAACAACGAATTTGTTACCACTGTCAGCCCCTTCTACTAGCTTATGTATATTTTAGTCACGCTGCACCCACAAAATTGTATTAACATTTGCGCAGAAAAACACGAAAATCAAAAACACGCATATGCATAATCGTATTGCATGTGAAAATTTGCAAATGCAATCAACACAATACAATGTACAGCCACATAAGCGCAGTGTATGTGTATGTAAGTGTGTGGTGTGTGTCTGTGTGTGCGTGTGTGTATTTGTGTTTAGGTGCTGATTGCTGGCTAGCTGGGCGCTATAGGAAATCAATTAGTGCAAACATATTTGCTGCGGCGCCCTTTCGTTTCGGCCTGACTAACGATGATCGATAATTCAGTTGGGTTTCCTCGCTCCTAGGAGTCGTATTTATTATACCCTCTAACTCTTAAATATGGGTATAATGATTGAAATACAGCTTTGAAAATGTGTGCAATGGACGAAAGAAAGGTTTCTAATCTCATAAATCATTCACACAACCGTGTCCATTGATATGTCGCTTGGGGTAAACAAATAAGTGTTGCCTTCCTCTGTGATTAAAATACTTTAATTGTGATATAAGGAAAAGGATGTGAGTTCTCCTCCCTTCGCTCAAGTCACTTCATTTTTTCTAACCTTCTTGGCATGGCCCAGTTTTACTCTCTCGTTGAATAAGTATAGCGTATCTGATAGTCGGTGCAGTATTTTCTTACTGATGTTCCATGTTATTAATAGTTCAGCCGAGCAAGTTCTATACTTAAAACGTATGGTATATACATATTTTATGCTGGTTATATTTTCGTTTATTTAGCAACAATTAGCAGCTTTAAGTGCAAGCTGTTGATTTATGTGCATTGTACACTGAGTACACGCTGTGTGTTAGTGTGCGTTTGTGTATTAAATGTGCGCCATTAAGTATGCAATATTTCTATGTATGTTTGTGTACATAATTAATAATTTAATTGCTTCTGTTTATCTCTTAATTAAAAGGGATTTATTTGACCCGTAACGCACTGTGAACCGCAGCAATTTCAATAGCAATAACAATATCAACAACAACAACAACAACAACAAGATTCACGGCACAAATCGCTGCACTTTATTTTATATTACTTTGCTAATTAAGTTCATAATTAATCGCATTTAATGTGGTTTTTGTGGCTATCGCTGATGATGATGTTGTGTCTCTTATTGTTGTTGTTGTTGTCGCTGCTGCTGCTGCTGATGCGAACCACAAAAACTGATTAGGGCCTAGCTTAATTAGAATTGATTGCTCAAAAGATTTGTACACACACACACACACACAACAACAATAATAATACAAGATTAAATATGCTAATCGAATTGTCTTCTGCTTCTTCTTTTGTTTTATTTACAGGTGAGTCCACACGCTTATTGCCAAATGCCAACACAATTAGTAAGTAAAAGATGAGAATATTTAGTTAAAAACCTGTCAGCCACACACCTTAAATTGTGCCTCAATGACTTGTTTAATTTTGAAAGCATATTTTGCGCTGCGCCGAATCTTTTCTGCCTATTTGGCAGAAACTTAATTAGCCGTCAAAACAATGGTGGCTACAAGCAAAACCAAAGCTCCCCATACCCCAGCCCAACCCCCAAAGATCTATACACACAAGCGCCCAGCGAGTCGCATCGTCTAATTTTCATAATTGTTATTATAGAAATTCAGCAGCCATAAACAAAAGGTTAGTTACTTGCCTAATGACTTGAAGTGCTGTCTTCTTCACAGCCTGCTTGCCTGCCTGGCTATCAGGGGGCAAAACTTTTACGGCTCGAATCGCCTGACTTGATAAACAAGCAAATGCGCTTATCACTGCGCCCAACTTTTCTGGCAGCCCTCCTTCTATCTATCAGTTGACTTGCGGAGGGGGGATTGGTGGAGCTGCGTAAACCGCGCACTCATAACCAAGTCGCGTTCAATGCGAAAATGATAGCCAGCCGTCCCCAAGTTCACAACTTTTCAGCTATTTGTTGAGGCGCGGTGGACGGCATTGCCACCCTCCATTCTATTAAGTGGGGGAGTGGCTAAACAGCCCAACACTAATTACAATGCCGTGGCGTTGATTTTTATGTGCCTGAAATTGAAATGGAGCACAGCACGGAACACTAAACGCTTTTAAAGATGCCTTAAAGCGTTGCCACAGTCGAATATTTTACGAGCCGAAAGGAGAAGCTGCCAACCCCCAGCCCCTCCCTCGACAGCTCTGCGGTAGGCAACAGCCTACAAAGTTGCACGTTGAACTTTACAACTTTTGCGCCATTTGAGTTGCCAATGCTATTTCTATGCCTCCAACAGTTGTTTGTTTGCTTGTTGGCTGCTAACAAGTTTGAGCCATGTCCTCTGCTGACTTCAACAACCGGACGCTTTTCTATTATTAATGTCACTGTTGTTGCTGCTGCCGCTGCCACTGCCGCTGCCACTGCCGCTGCTGCTGCTGCTGTGTAGTTTAATTAATTAATTTGACAAAAGTTTTCAATTGAACTTCAGCTGGCCGAGCCGCACAGCTTTAATGCGGCTGCTAACAAACGGAGAGCTGTCCAGCACACACAAATCAGCACTTAAAAATTACGTTTCCAAACAAACAATGTGCAAACGAAGCCAATAATAAATTTATTTTTAATACCTGGCTTCCATGTCTATGCAAATATGGCACTTCTTTAAGGCTTCCTTTGTAGTCATAAACAAAAAAAAAACTGTAAAACTGGAAAAACAAGATAAATTGCTTTTCTTGCCGGATGTCGAAGCTTAAATACCCTATGCCAGTTGTGCATTATGTCTCTATATATTTGGATATTAACCAAAGACCTTTTATTAAGTATGCATCTCTACATGATAGTTCCTATATATTAAACTCTGGACTCAGATAGTTGTTGTTTCTGCAGAAATCTTACGTACCTTTGCCGCCAATTTGTATTTAGATGCATTAAGAACTAGACTGCATTGCAATATTTTTACAGCTGCAACTGCAGGCAAAGAATCTATATATTCGTGTACTACTTTTTTTTGAGCTAGGGTATAAAACAAAATCAGCATATTGTTGGTCTTATATCATTTCGAATTTTGTGGTTTTCCATCTCTATAAATATTTCGTGTGCACATTTAATTAACAAGCAGAAACACAATTGCAACCTTCTGTTGCAACTTGAGTTGCACGCATATCTTTTACAATTTCCATATCTGTTGTTGTTGTTGCTACAATTATGTCTACATGCCTGAGCAGATAATTTGATAGATTTGCCTAATAGATTTCCATGGATACTCTATTTTGATTTACTGCAAAATCATTTGTGGCTGCCAGAGGGCCGTGAGGGCATTTAAATTTTCATTAAGTCGCATTAACTGGCAACCTGGCAGAATTTCTGCCTGTGCCTATGCCTATCGGATGCACAGCAGCAGCAGCAACAGCACCAGCGGTGGCAGCGGCAACAGCAAAAAGGTTTGCCCCATGACCTCAAAAATGTTCATGCCACACTTCCGCTGCTTACGTTGCTTCCGCTGATTGTTGTTGTCGTTGTTGTTTTTGCTGCTGTTTGGCTGCCCGCGCATGAGTTGGCTATAATTAAAAATGCTATTACTGCCAACTTCATATAAATTTTTAATTAGCAATTTTTGCTATTTTCCTACTTTTGTTGTGCACCCCAACAACAACAGGGGCTGCCTTATTGTTGTGGTGGTGCTTCCTCTTATTGTTGTTGCTTTTGTTGCCTGTGCTTTGGTGAACTTTTTAAATTAGCACTTTGTTAAACACTCTGATGAAAAAGGTAGCACCACCACCAAAAGGCGCCACCACCCACCATCGTGCAACAAAAATGTTGGCATAAATTGTTTTTTAAAAGGATTTTGTCCATTGCTCAGCGCTCCGGACCGCACCCCACCGCACCGCAATCACCTTAGCGGTAACCCGTGACACGGCAGCTGTTCGTACGCATTAAGTACCACAGCGCCGCGGTGGCTGTCATAAATTTTTGGATCTGTCTGACTGATAACTAGAGTTACTCGACTAAAAGCTACACTGCTTTCAAATATGCAAAAAGAAAATAAAAATGAAGCCGACAGCATTTCTAGTATTTTTCGATTAAAAAACCCATACAAATGCACATTTTTTCTAAATCATGTAGTTTTTAATCTGTTTACAATAAACATTTGAACTCGTCTGTGTCCATATATACCCTAACTTAGCGTTTATACCATCAACAGAGAGTATTTTCATTCTTAAAAACCCTACAACAAAAACTGTTGCCTGCTTATTTGAGGTAAGCGTGCGCGAGAAGTTGATTAGCATAGCAAAGGGTTTGTGGTTTTACTTTTTGCTGCTACTGTAATGATTAGATTTTATGCATGGGCCCATAATGGCACGCCCACAGCGCTTGTTGTTGCTGTTGTTGTTATTTTGTTTGCCGTAAAAAGGCGCAAATATTGACAATTATGGCCTATAATTTGACACCCATCGGAAGCAACAAAAGCAACGACAGCAACGCGCGCCTGTCAGCACCATAAAAGTGACAGCCAAAGGGTTGACAATTAAAATTAAACCAACCACACACACACACACACCTACATTTATCGTGTGAGCTTCGTTGAGCAACGCTATGTGATTCAGCAGTTGTGCTTCACACACACACACAGAGAGCGATACGCACAGACGCACGCCCTTTTGTCATGCATTTTAATTAAAATTAACTTCATTTTTATGACGCTGATGTCTGTGTGGCATGTGTCGCTTTGTCTCTTACTGGTCGCAGGTTGCTTAGTTAGTTGCCACAATTTATACAATTAAATAAAGATTTTATTATCATGCCGCTGGCTTTTAATGTCTTCGAGCTTGATGTGCGCCACACTCTCTAGCTATGTGTGTGTGTTTGTAAATATTTAAGCTGCAAGCATATCAAATTTACTGTTGTAGGTGTCGCGTCGGCATATTTTAAAAGCTTTTCGTTATACAGCGCCGCGTTTACTTAGCATACAAGGGCATAGGTGGCAAGAAGGGTGCTGCATCCTGCCGTTTACTTTTATATGTATTATACATACATATATGTATGTATTTATATGGGAGCATGTATGCAAATTTATGTGACGTTGTGGCAAGCACGCGCTCACTCTGGCTTAAGGCTGGGCCCCAAAAGGAATTTCCTGGCTACGGCTTTTGTTTTCTAGCTGACGCTGCAGCAGCCGTCCTCCTTGCTGTAGCCCAAATGTATGCAAAGCTGTGTTTAAAGTGTGGCAACCACATCACATGCCAAGCGGCTGTCTGGGTGTGTGTGTGTGGCTTGTTGGCAATTTAATGGGCGCGACCTGCCGTCGCGTCGTTTATGCATATTTAATAGTTGCTATTTTTGCTAAGTGCTTGAAATTGTCAGCGCACGAGCACGCAAAAAGGCAGACAAAGACGTTTGAAGAGCTGCAAATCCGGTGCAAAGCTGCCTGAAAGCCACATTGGATCATACCCAGATGCCTATGATTCGTGCCCTCCAACCCCTTTCTATTCAACTATCGCTCCATCTTGCTCGCAAGCAAACTAATTACATTTTTGCTCAATTGGCACAAGTTGCTCGACCTTTTGCTGACACTCAAGCAGCCAAGTTATACAATTAGCAGAGAGAAAGAGAGCAGAGCGAAACCAAAAGTTACACTGGCGGTATTTCAATGAATTTTGAAATTTGCCAAACGAAAAAGTTTGCCCAGTATCCTACCCCAACCGCGTTCTCGCACCGCAGCGGCAACCCTTGCAGTTGCTAATGAATTACTGTAACTGACTTGTGCGCCCAGATTTATGCAACGAAAATTAAAAGGTAAATAGCGCAGGCACGACTGGCTTTAGCTCTGCCAAAGCAAGGATAATAGTTGTCAGCCTCAAAATGTTCCCTCGCCTGGTCCGTTTCTGGCAAAGTTTAATCAAGCGCTATTCTGTTTGCCACGGCATGACACGCCCCTTCGCTGGCTGAATCAACTTTGCATCAATTTCAATATTCCCACTGTTTTCATTTAATTTCACCAACTTAAAACTTAATTGCGTACTTCCTGCGACTTGCTGCTGCTGCTACAGCGCACTTGGCTGCTTTCCTTGCAAGCAGCAGCATCGGACCCCTACTCTGCATACCCTGTAGAATCGCCATGGTGCTCTTGTCGCTGCCTCTGCCGTTGCTGCTGGGCCCTTTTTTGCATTTAAATTTGCAAAAATTAAAGTCGCTATGGTGGCGTCAAGAAGCGCAACAGGTGGCCGCGCAAACTCATTTAGGGTATTTATGTAGGGCGGACTTGAGCGCGCTTTTGTGGCCGGAGGTCTGGGTCTTGTAATTTGCACAGCAGCAGCAGCAGCAGCTACAGACAACGACAACGGCAATGATAGTTTCCCAGTTATGAATGGCAGTGGCAGCAGCAAAGCTGATGTTGCTGTT